AAAGTATAAATCTCAGAAAAAAAAAAAAAAACAGAAATAAATGTAAATACTCACTCACTTGGGTGAGCAAATGGCTTCTTAGGTATGCACAAGCAACCAAAAATTAATGAATAAATAAACTCTAGATCTTCTCAAAACTAAAGTTTTCGTGCTTCAAAAAACACCATCTCTTAAAGTACAAAGACAATTCATGGAGCGGGAGAAAATACTTTTAAAAATTATCTAACAAAGGTACAGTATTTACACTTAAAAAGAATGCTTACAATTCAACAATAAAAAAAATCCAATTTTTAAAAAGGCAAAGGACCTGAAGAGACCTACGTTTTTACTTAATTTTTTTTTAAAGATTTATTTATTTATTCATGAGAGACACAGACTGAGAGAGAAGCAGAGACACAGGCGAAGAGAGAAGCAGGCTCCTCGCAGGGAGCCCGATGTAGGACTTGATCCCTGATCCTGGGATCACAACCTGAGCCAAAGGCAGATGCTCAACTACTGAGCCACCCAAGCGTCCCACTTATTTTTATTTTTTTTAAAGATTTTATTTATTTATTCATGAGAAACAGAGAGAGAGAGAGGAAGAGACACAGGCAGAGAGAGTGGCAGGCTCCTTGCAGGGAGCCCGACGTGGGATTCAATCTCAGGACCCTAGGATCACACCCTGGGCTGAAGGCAGACACTCAACCACTGAGCCACCCAGGCATCCCCAGACCTATTTTTTTTTTAAGATTTATTTATTAATTTCAGCGTGTGCACGAAAAGAGACTGCATGTGCTTGAGTAGAGGTGGAGGGTGGGGCAGAGGGAGAGGGGGAGAGAGAATCTCCAGCAGACTTACCGCTGAGCATGGATCCAATTCAGGGCTCAATCCCACAACCGTGAGATCTTGACCTGAGTTAAAACCAAGAGTCAGATGCTTAACTGAATGCACCCCCCAGGCGCCTCCAAATTAAAACTCATTAAAAGGCAGTCATGGTTTTAAGGTCTGTAACAGCAGAACACTGGCAATAACCTCTGTGCCAATTACCCGGGGACTCGTTTAATAACCAGCTTGCTGACTGAAGGGGCAAAGGCAGATGGGAGCCCTGGCTGTGAGGGGCAGTGGGCTCAGGGCCCCTGCACATTCATGGTTCTGGCAGCCTGAGCAGGCCCGCGTGAGGACTGGGGACACGGCAGCCAATGCCAGAGACCAGAGCCGCCGTGGGGTAGCCAGGGTGGGAATGGTATGGGAACGCGCCACTGTGCTGACGGTGGGCTCCTACAGTACACACGCATACTCCATGATGCACGCGGACGTCCGCCACGATAGCTCAGCAGCGGGTACACGATGCCGAGGCTAGGCAGAGGCTGGTGGAGGACAAGAGGACAGAGGTAGGATGGAGACTTTCTGCCACCCGCGTTCACGCTCCTGGGAGCCCAATGTCCTGAGCACTCCCAACTCTGTCAGAAGCAGATATGGAGCCCAGGAGCCTTCTCTGTCCCTGGGACCCCCTTCTACATTTGTTCTGAACATCTTCTAAGAAGAGAACTCCATATAGCACGCAGCTTTCAGACAAACTCCACCAGCTGCAGCAAGCTCAGGGGCCGGGCACTGCTGTACAAGACATGCTCAGAAGCCTTGGTGCTGTTCCAGAAGGTTCCTGCAGTGAAGACACGGACAGTGAGGCACAGCTATGAGCCCACCAGCCAGCAGGACCTCGTCCCTTAGCGAAAACCACACAACTCTGGGAGGAACCAGCGCGCCAAGGAGGAAAGGAATCTGCGCATCCCTCAACACACTCAGCCAGGACTCTGCAACAAATCTCATAACACTTGCCACCTGAAAGGCACCGTCTGATGGGGCTGGGGCAGGGCTGGGTCCTGGTCTCTGCCTGGCGGCCTCAACAGCTTACAGCTGTAGCTTTCATCCACAAGATGACAGGTTAGGACTAACAGTGTCTGGAGTGCCAGGTTCCAGCCCTGAAATCCTACTTTTCAACAAAATGCCAGGTTCCTGAGCAGCCCTGGCAGACAGTGCAACCGCCCCAGTGCTTCCGCGGTGAGCGTGCCACCCCTGCTCCCTGCTCCAGGTCCACACGGCGGCCAGGACGTGGAGCCAGGCGGCAGTCCCGGCAGAGCGCACGGAGCCAGGCGCTAGGCATGGTTCACGCACACGTGGGACCAGAGCTTCACCCTGAGGGTTTCTGATTCGCCTGCAAAATGATAAACTAGAAAAAGGCTGCATGGAAAGTACGGACACTTGCACATCATGCATTATGCACATGCTCCGTCCTGTCCTCTGCCACACTTGACAGTCTGTTTCTACAAAAAGTCAGCCAGGAGTGGCAATGCTCTGGAGTCCCCGGTGGGAGACTCGGGGTGCAGGAGCCCTCCCACAGCTACCCGCAGTCCACTGCCCCCACACCCCAACGGGGACTTCCACACTGAGCTGCCGCCACCACAGCTATCAGCACAACGACATCTGACAGGTGCCATAGACGAGGCCCAGAAATAAACACTGCTGACAGGGAGCTGTGACAGGCACCCCAGGGGAGAGCCGGAGGGAGCCAGTCCAGAGAGAAGGTGCAACTCTGAGGGAAAAAGCCCTTAGACCAGCAAAAGCCAAGAGACACGAAATACATCTATTCCAAAGTTTGAAGTTAGTCACGGCTGAAACTCCTAGATCACTAAAAACATGAGAGACCCCAGAGTTTTAAGAGAAGGAATAACACATACTGTGGGGTTACTAAGTGAGTCCTAAGTTCTCACCACGAGAGGCACCCCTTGGAGGGAGGTAACAGGCGTTCCCCAGACCTAACACAGACCAAGAGCAAGTCGCCGCATTGGGCATCTGAAGCTGGTACGTCAACTGCCCTTTAATTACCAAACAAAACAAAACGGTAATGTAAACAAAAAATACTACCAAAGGCAAAGGCCCTCCCCTCAGGTCAGCGACGCAGCCCGGCTGACAGGAGCATAGGAGCATGGCTGGCAGGCGCCACAACCAAGGCAGCCAGGTTGACAGGAGCATGACCAGCAGGCGCCACAAGCCTGCGCTCACGGGGACCGCGGCTATCCCGGCTCCCGTGCTCCCTGCAGCCCATCCACCCGCGGGGACCGAGCAAGCCCCTCTCCACCACTGCTCCTGGTGCGGCTGCAGGGCCGAGGGCTGGAGAGCCGGGAGGACGCAGCCAGGTGGGGCCTGAGGCAGCACAGCGCTCGCCGGGGGGCTGCGCGGCGCAAGCCCGCGGACTGCCAGCCCAGAGCAGCAGTCCTGACCCATCCTCAGGAACCCTCGCGTCCTCAGGAGAGGTCTCGGGCGGCGAACCCTAAGGGCTGCCCTCAGTGAAAGTGAGGACCTGTCCCCGAGGTTGCAACGCCCCATGTGAGAGGCATGGATGTGACCCCGCGGTACAACAGCCTGTGCCTTAGGCGATGCGCTGAGGGGCAGCAGGACCTTGTGATCCAGTGCCCACAGCCAAGCAGAGCGCATTCAGGCAGCGACAGCAGGAGAGGGCATGTCACTGGGTCCCCAGAGTCAAAGAGAAAATAACTAGTTTAGGCTGAGCCGGACGCAAGTCCTTTGGGAGAAAGCTCTAGAAGATGACGGGCCAGAGAGCAGACCAGGGAGCTGTGACGATCAGCAGCGTCCACAGCCACCGCTGCACAGAGTTCCCTCACCCGCACAGGGCAGTCCCACCACAACAGGAGTCCCACCCACAGCCGCTCTGCACGAGCCCCAAGATGCCTGCATGGGACCCCCAGGAGGGTTGGCCTGCACCAGCCGCCCTTGACCACCAGCACCAGAGGGGCCGGGGTCACCTGAGCCAGACCTTGGGACGAGCCCTCGCCACCGGGTCTGACTGGGGTCCCGAAGTCGGCCTGACAAGGGGCCCCTGAGCCTTGGTAAGATCTCCTCAGACAGCACAGGAAGGGAGGGGACGGAAGACGGGCAGCCACACCCGACAGCCAGTCGCAGCCCCACGGAGCCGCGAGGCCCGTGTCAGGTTAGGCCGCTCTTGGGGGCAGCTGGCGCCAGCCGGGCCCTGAATACAGGGGTGCCTGTCCTGGGGGAGCCTGGGCAGCCTGGGCTGGCCTGGAGACAGCAGGCCTGGAGGGCTCCCCGCTGCCCAGCCCACCTCACCCATGACCGGATCTGTAGGGCCCGGCACCACCTCACATGGGGCTCATTTCCAGAGAATGCCTGTGCCCCTCACGCACGAGGTCCTGCTCCCGCGCTTTGGGCCTTCTCTGGGAAGGCTGCCTGCAGCGTGGCTCTCGGAGCAGCAGGAGCATCGGAGGCTCAGGCCCCTGCGCCCGGCCCGGCCGCACACAGCCAACGGCCCCCAGACCCAGTCTGGGCGCGGTGGGAGCGGGGGGCTGCGGCAGTCCCTGTGTCACCGGAGGGCGAGCAAGCCCTCAGCGCACCCTCGCCCTCAGAACATGAAGGTGCTGCGTGCTCTGCGGCTCCGGGCCCCTGGGAAGCCGACAGCCAGGACGCGGTGTATGGTGGGGGAATTCTAATAAAGTGATGTCCCGTTTCACAGACCACACAGGGTTTCCTTTAAAGTGAAGCCTCCCTACTTGTGACACCCTGCAACAATGGCGCTCTGCGCGCGGCTCCGGAGGAAACCTCTCTATGCCGCTGAAAGATTCAACTTCCGCTCGCGCTCTGGGAGATGGGGAGAGCGACTGGAGCTGTGAGCGCCCCCACCCCACCGGCCGTGACCCCACCCCACACGGGAGCTCGGAGCCTGGGCACCCACGTGCACCTGACCTGCTTATGGAAGAGGCCGCCGGTCGCCCCGCCTCCCCTGCGGTGTCCTGTGCGGACACCCGGCCATGCACCACAGGATGACATGGGACAGATCTAGCACCCACCAGGTGCGCCCGAGCGGCACAGCAGGCTGGCGGGGCGCGGCCATGACTGCAGGGAGACGCGGAGACCGGCCCAGCGGCTCCAGCACAGCCCACCCCCAACCCCGCGTGTGGAGACCCCAGCCCAGGGAGCCCCGTGGTTACCTGCCTGCCCTTCACCACGTGCTTCGGCACCGGCACCTTGAGCTCCAGGTCGGTGTAGTCCTGAGACCAGGTGTAGTTCTCACGCACAGCACCATTGTAGCTGTCAGGGTTTCTCTGGAACTGTTCCTGCCTCCTGGGGAAGAGCGATAGGTGAGATGGCACCCGGGCCCACACGCGAGGGACCACGACCCCATCACATGCTGGGCCCCCCACAACTGATTGGGCTACAGGCCCCCCCGCCGCACACGTGGGCCCCCTCACAACACACGCTTGTGCCGCCCACCATGCACCCAGCCCCCCCCATGCACCCAGGCCCACACAGCTGATTGGGTCACAGGCCCCCCACCGCACACCTGGGTCCATGCGGGAGGCCATGAGTCCTGACCACAGATAGTCTCCAGCTCCTGAGAAGTTCCACCTAAGTCTCAGGCCTCCCAGGAAACCACGGGGACACAGGGACACTCTGTAGAGCCCCTAAGTGCTGTATCCTCAGCTTGGGGGGCAGCGTCCACAGCTGCGGCCCACAGCACAGCCGGGCCTGCCAGACTTCACCAGGCTCAGAAAGCAGGCCAGTCCCTCAACCACAGGACCTCGGTCATAAAGACCCAAGGCTCCTGTTTTCTCACAAATTGCTCGGCAAGGCCTGTCTTCACAAAAAAGCAGACCAACTTCAGCCGCAGCTTCTCAGCTTGCACCCTAACCCAACCACAATCCCAGCTTTCTCTCGGTAAATACTGCACTGCACACCAAACCACAGGCTCTAAGAGGTGAGTAGCATGCCTGGAAATCCCACCAGCCATACCCCACTAACTGCGGGGCCAGCCCGGCACAGAGGCAGACAGGCCTGGCCAAGCAATGTTACAAGTAAAATACTGCAAAACATTTGCTGTTAAATGTCAGGCTGCTGCTAAGAGCATAAAAAGCATTATAAAAATAAGTGTGGACTCACAAACCCACTATGGGGAGTTTTACAACTAAATTAAAGACAGGGGACGCCTGGGGTGGCTCAGTGGTTGAGCATCTGCCTTTGGCCTGGGGTGCGATCCTGGGATCTGGGATCGAGTCCCGCATCGAGCTCCCTGCATGGAGCCTGCTTCTTCCCTCTGCCTGTGTCTCTGCCTCTCTCTGTGTCTCTCATGAACAAATAAAATCTTCAAAAAAAAAAAATTAATTAAAGACAGAAGCCCAGTCGTGGAGGAGGACATCCTAACAGGTGCAGCTTGGCCGCCTTCTCCAGCCCTTAGGGAGCCCCATGGACACACCCATGGCCTGCTGTGCGTCTTCATGTGTACAGATGAAGATGCACACACCCCATCAGCCCCCAATCTCGGATGAGAACGTGTTTAACTCCTGTAGGTACGCCTCACACGCTTTCTATGTGAGACTGGGTGTTCATCACAGTCCAGCTCTTGGGGCTAGTAACTGGCTGCCATCAAGGGCTGAAGTGTGATCCCCCAAATTCTGTTATCCTAACCTCCAGCAGCACCTCAGAACACCTTATTTCAAAGTTAAAATGAGATCGTCGGGGGCCCTGATCCACTCGGTGTCCTTCTCAAGGGGGAGACCGGGACACGAAGATGCACACAGAGGGATGTTGCTATGAGCACCACCATGCAGCTGCAGACCACGGAGGTGAGGGATGTCTGCCTCTGCAGAAGCTCAAAGGGGCCAGGAGGGCCCTACCCAGTCTGGAAGGGAGCTCGAAAGAGAGCCCCACAGAGCAGGGTGGAAGAGGCAGGAGAGGTCAAGGCAGGGCATCCCGGGCAGGGCCACCACAGCACATACCTGTGCACAGCTCTGTGCACAGCTCTGAGCACAGCCCCCAGGCCCGTTCCCTAAAAAGAAATGCACACGTGTGTGTACGTGTCCAGGCACAAGCCTGGTGAGTGTCTGTGGGGTTTCTGGGTGGTGGAGTCAGAGCAGTTTGCTTCTCTTCTCTGTACCTTTAGCTATTACTCAACTTTGCCCCAATATGGACATTTGATCAAGAAAAAAAACAGCTCTTCAAGACAGGAGATGGCAATCCGTGCCATGGCCCCACAACTGGGAGCTCTCCCATGACCAAACCAGCTTGCTCACACCTTGACACCTGAAGTGAGCCCAGGGAGACCAGCACAGCAGGACAGGGTGGCCAGGACCTGCACCTGCATCCCCTACCCACTCGAGCAGCCAGTGAAGCTTTAAAGCTCACAGCAGATGGACAAGCTCCAGCAAACCCGACCAGCATGGAGCCAGGAGACTCAGCCTAACTGCACGGCCTTTAAAAATGTGCATATTAACTACCTGAAATCATCAAAGCTATAGGAACACAAAAATAAACATACAAAATAAAGGCCAACGTGGCCTGGTGCTTGGCAGAAATCCAGAAATAAACCTCAAGACCTCTCACAGTGAGGGATGGCTATGTCCCACACACCGCACTGAGTCCTTATCAGCCAGTGTCCACACACAACCATAATGCACAGCAGATGCCACGAGGCCACATCTGCTCGAGGAGCCACCCTGCGCCTGTGGAGCTGTGCGGAAAGAGCTGTCCCGGAGCTGGGTGCTTACAGAGGAGCTCTGGTCACACTGCACTGCGGGGCGGGGCAGCTAGGCAGGCACTGGGCTGGCTGACCCCGAGTGGACCCTGCAGCCTCCTCCCCAGGGAGCCAGGCACACTGCTGGGTGCTTTTTTTAATACTTGGAATCCACATTCTCTTTAAATAAAGTTGATTATTTCCAGCCAACAATGTGTAAAAATAAGCCTCCTGTCATGTGCAGGTGCTCTGGGCCCCCTCGCTTTGTCATCCCTGACAGGCCTGTAGCCACACCCCTGCAGCTGCCAGGGAGTACACTGGGGGTGGGGGGGGGAGCATGAGTCAGCAGCCAGGCCTCCCTGCAGCGCCCACGTCTGAGGAGGCCATCAGGCCCATGGCAGGGTTCTGACCGCATTAAAGGAAAAGCCAGGCCAGGCTCCGGGAGGCTAGTGCTGCGGGTGGCCCCAGCCAGCCCCACCTTGCACAGGTGGGAACTCTGCTCAGCCCCTCCCTCCCTCCCTCCATGGCCCTGTGCGTGGCAGGAACTGAAGGGCCTCCTGCCTTCCCCAGTTCAGAACAGCAGTGGCCAGGATGAAAAGTAGTGGGTGATGGGGGTCACAGCCCAACCTAAATGCTTCTGTGCAGAAGGCTTGACTGCACATGGGGCATGGGAACGGTGTATTACGGGGAGCCACGGGGCCGCCTTCAGGCCCCTACCCAGGGTCTGGGAGTGGGGGTGGCTCCCCTGAGTGCACCCAGGGCCTGCCTGTGCATGTACAGCCTGAGCGTGCGCACACAGAAGCAGTTCAACCTCTCCCTTCCCCGAGTACCTCTACCTTTCCTACTGGCCTTCTGCTCACTGGTCCCACCACCTCGGCTCCCACACGGGAGCCACAGCAGGTGCATACACAGGGATTCCTCTCTGGGTTCCTGTATTTCCCAAGCTGGAAGAGGCGAGCCCAACCCTGGAGGCTAATGCCCTGCTTCAGGAGCCTCACGAGGACCAGTCCTCCTAGAAGTGGGTCCACAGGCCCCGTCTCGCCAAGATATGAACGCCACGCTCCCCATGCAGCTTGGAGAGGAAGGGTGGGGCTGCAGAGTCTGAGCACAGTGACCCGCCCAGAGGGCTCTGCAGCAGGTAGACCCACCTGCTCATAGCCTCTCTCCCCAGCAGCACGCACTCACCCTCCTGCTCCTCCCCCCCCCCCCCCACGATTTCTTCCCAGCTCCTGGAACAGTGGGAGCCCATGGCATCGGGAGCCATGCTCCAGGCTCAGGTCCCTGCACACCAGGTCTGTGTGGTCCAGGAGCCTGACACCCACTGTCTCCCTCCTACCTGGGGTCACTGTCCCCTCACACTTGGTCTTGGTTCAATGCATTCCCACCTGAAAGTCAGTCTGCCTAAGGACACAGGCTTAGCAGTCCACTCTTCCGAGGAAGGGAGGCTTCCTGGCCCCCTGCAGCACTCAGGGGAGACAAGCTGTGTATCCTACCCTTCAACTCTTTAAATCCAGTTTCAATAATTTTCTCTCCACTTAGCATCTACCGGAAGTCGGTCTTCCCAGATAGGAGTGACTCACCCTCCCATCTCACAGGAACCAGAGCCTGAGCTCACCTGTCCTGAGAAAGGACACCATTCAAGATGAGGAGGGTCCCAAGAAAGGGACACACAAGCCCCCAAGGGGCCCCTGCTGGCCAAAGACAGGACATCAAAAAAGAACAATGTCAGAGTGCCTGAGCAGGTGTCCAACTCTTGATTTCAGAACAGGTCACAATCTCAGGGTTTTGAGATCAAGCCTCGTGCTGGGCATGGAGTCTGCTTGGGGCTCTCTGCCCACCCCCCAAAAGTGTCCACAGAAGACTGAAATGTGTCATGTATCCAAAGCTCATGAAACAAAAGCCCATCAGTCCCCTTGATGAGAGTACAACTCGATCTGAAAATTAATTGATTCTGCAGGAACCAGAGTTTCAGAAAGCCAAGTTCCTCCATGAGGACTCTAGACAATAAATGAAGAAGGGGTACACGAACATGAGAAAATCACCATTTTGTAACCTGCACTGGAAACCTGCTTCTGGGCCGCAGTTCTTGGTGGCCACTGGTGCTGGCTGAAGGACTGATGGCAATGGGAGGGCCTGCCCATGGAATGGTCCAGAACACCAATGTCCACAATGCCAGACACCCGGCGGTTCCTGCGAGGTCCTCATCTTTGTGATAAGCCCCAACATGGGGCCTAAAACCCAGTGCATCACACCAGGGTACGGGTCACCGGGATCATGAATGCGCTGGTTGCCAACTGCAGAATGTGGGAAAGTGTAACAAAGTTCCAAGTTTCTTTACAAATCAATAGCAAGACATTAGGGGCACCTGGGGGGCTCAGTGGATGAAGACACTACCTTCAGCTCAGGTCATGATCTCAGGATCCAAAAAGAAAAACCCAGCAAGAGATTAAAGAGGGAAGTGGAGGTACTCTAAATCAGGAGGCTTAGAAGATGCAGCAACCAAACACCACACTGGGACCTGCTGGAACGCTGATCTGAAAAACGCACCCTGAGAAGGCACTCTGAGACCATCAGGAAGTGAACACAGGGCATCAGGTGACTGTATGAAATTCAT